GATCTAACTGTCTTAACATGAGTACAGCCATGTTTGGCCGCTCTATTAACCTACAGCCACCAGCACACACAGAAATATAAAGCTGCTTTCTGTGTGGTGGGAACTGGCCTTTTTCCTGGGAACTGGCCTCTATCCCACGGAGATAGCTGCAATTTGTAAGAATTTCAAGGTCCTTTGGGCATCATGGCCTGCGGCAGACTGGCCTTCTGTGCTGGGCTGGGACAATAACCAGGGAAAACAGTGCACGTACACAACTGCCGGGCTGGGACAATAGCCAGGAGGCTCAGTGCACGTATGCCACTGATAACCACTTGTGCATGGGAACACTGAATGCTTGCTCTGTAAACTCTGTAACTGCTTATATAAACTACTGGAAACTGAGGCCTGGTGACAGTCTCACCTGTGGAAGGGACACCTTGGCCAGGACGTGTGATTCCTGCCCAGCCGTGTCAATTGAAGGGACTATCCCAGCAGTGGGGCATGGATGTTGTGAGTAACCGATCTGATGTGTTCTCTTTTTGGTCAACTTGGTGTTTCTCTTTCTGGTTGATTTGTGTCATTTCCCTTCAGTCGATCTGGTGTTTCCCTTTCCAATCGATCTGATGTTTTTCCCTCTTATTATATGACCTATTCGAATCTGCCACTATCTCAGTTGATCTGGTGTTTCCCTTTCCAATCGAGCTGGTGTTTTTCCCTCTTAATATTTGACCTATTTGGATCTGTTCGCAGACTATCTCCTTTACTATCCTCTATACAATAAAATATACCTTCAGTCCATTTGTTTGGAGTGGAAAGTTTCTTTTACATCTCTGATCGAATCCCCGAACCTCTCATAACACTAACCAAGATCTTTTTCATACTGCTGAGTTAGAGAGGGCTGGTGGGGATAGGAAATAATGACAATCCAAAAGAAAACACTAAGGAATGGAGACAAGACACCCTTGGCAGGTCTCTAGCCATGTGAGGAGGTCCCTCAAACCTGTAAAACCAGTATTTCCTCTGGTGGGAACTCCTAACAATGCAGCCTTCAGCTTTATGTCTGATTAGACTCATATGTGGTGTGGGGGGTGGTTACAGCTATGCTTTTGCTGTGGGGGAGGACACACCTTGCTGGGTTTTTCCTTTATTTTTTAAATCATATATTCAAAAGCTGCCAAGTCTCCCCCATCCTCCTCGTTCTTTTCATGAACTACTTACTCATATCCTGCAATTTAGATTTCACAGGGGATGAATGATGAAATGGAACTCGATATGTAGGAACTTAAGACAGGGTTGTAATATCCACAGACATATAAATATAGATAGATAGATGATAGATGATAGATAGATAGATAGATAGATCGATCAAGGGTAAGTACAAAGTAGAAAGAGTCAATTCCAGCTGACATGGAGACCTGGGATTCTTTCTCTAGCAGAGTAGTACCAAGCATCCTTTCAGTGAGGAGAACTCGCCGAGAGATGGATTTACGTCTAATTCCCACTCAGCATGAGAGTGACTCAATTTCTCTGGAGCCCCAGGTACTGGCTGTGGAATTTGAGAACAAGCTTCGGGAAGCCGTGGACCGAGCACTCTGTTTTCTCCATCCTCTCCTCTAACTCTGCTGCCTTCCTCCTCCAGGGCTGGGGCAATTTTTTGTTGTTGTTGTTTTTTCTTCTCGTATCTGGTTAATACAGTGCTGGGCAAAGCATTCAACAGGAATTATATATTGAGAAGTGGATGAGGATCTCCTTTTCTGACAAAGATGGTGATGTACCAACTGTTAATAATCTGAAATGTCTATAAACTGGATGTGAATTTAATTAAATTCCATATGTAATTTAATTCTGCTCAGATTAATTAGCAAAGAAATAAGTTATAGCTTAGCTATTATTGGAAACATTGGCTGCATTATGAATCTTTTTTAGGTATACGCAGTTCATAAATAATTTTAAGGGAAGCTAATTTTATCTTTTACATTATGAATTTTGTAATGACTTACTACATGTTCCAAGAAACCTATATTATAATTTTATGAACAGCTACCTGATTGTATCACCGTAATTAAATTAAGAGGACATAACCATTTTAATAAAGGAGCATATTTTCATTTATGTTTTCTGATGCCATTTCTATAGGAAAGCCCTTTTTCTTTTTTTTTTTCACTTGGATGAGTCAAGATAATTAGTTAAGCATCTTTCAGATGATAACTGTTTAGCCGGTCTTTTCCTTTACATAGAAAAAGCCAGAATTACCTGAGCTATTTAGGTTTCTTTCCGATTTAGTGATTAAGGCATCCATATTTGCCTTTAATTCAGGTTTTCCAGATGAAATTTATTTTGGAAATGTACAGAATTACTTCTATTTTGGCAGGGTGAGCATATGTTCTGGTTTGCCTGAGACAATTCTAAATTTATGCCTGTTGTCTTAGTGTTGCTTTTAGGTTGGTCTTTATCCCAGAAAGAAGTGCCCCAGTTTGGATGACAAATTACATAGTCATGCTATTTACCAGATATGAGTCTACAAGTCTATACTCCATGCCTTTTGTATTACCCTTCTAATTCTTCTTTTTGTTGTTGCTGGCCAATTTCAGTGGTTGTCAGATATTTTTATTTTTTTCATATTTATTCGAATAATATTTCTTTGCTACATACCAAAATCAAGAATTAATTGTTCAGAATGAGAAAAAAAATTCCTTCCTGTTTTTAAAGGGCCCAACATCATAAAACTAAACTCCTATAATACATACAAAATGTTTAGATTTGGAGAAAATGTAAAATAATCCTCTACCAAAAGCACATCAAGACATGTCAGGGGTGCGTTCTTTAATAATCCTACATAGGGAGGCTCATCTCATATTTCTTTCTAAATAAACTAATTCAAGCTCCCAAGAAAATTCAAAGTAATACTAGAAATTTTAAGGTTAAAAAAAAGACTTGAAATGACCCATTACAGCTTTCTTATTTTATAGATGAAGAAACTGGGGCTCAGATGTTAATTTGTCCAAATTATACCATCAGAGAAGGGGTTAGTTGGGATTAGAATCCAGGTTTTAGTCAAGTAAGGCTACCAAGATAGACTCCACACAAACAAGTTGACTACATGACAAAATTTCACTAAGACAGAACAAAAGCAAGATGACCCCACTGCCTCGGAGGTCTTTGAACCATGATTCATTTAATGTTCCCTGAAGTGAGAGATCTGCTCCTCAATTTTAAGTTTCTCTGACCCTTATTTCATGATTCTCTCTTGTGACATGAGAATAAAGAAGAGTTAAATTTAAAAGTGAAACAAAGCAAGTTTGATTTCCCAACACGCCAGGTGATTCAAGTTCCGCCACACAAACCCAAGGTCCTCCTCCAAATCCATTAGGGTCAAGTCCTGTGAAGGCTCCACGTCATGAGGCATGCTCTCCACAGGGCGGGCACTCACATTTGCACTGTATGGAACTGACCACGAGTGACCTGTCTGCCTAGTCACAGGTCACAGGGGAGAACCATTTCCCCACTATGGACGAGCAGAAGCTGACATGAGGAGCACCACCCGGAGCCACTTCCCCCTGTGGTCTCGATGAGGCTCCATGTACCACAAAAAGACTCTCATGGGCCACTTTGCTAATTTGATTGTACCAGTAGAAGCCCAATTTCAAAATGGTAAATTCCTGTGGAGACAGATTTTGTCTACTCTCCCACCAGCCTTGGTCAATAAATCCAGGGAAGACACGCTTTTTGTGTGGATATGGAGAGGTATGTCCTCAGGGAAAAAGTCTATGAGAAACCTCTGCTTTAGAAATACAAAGTACAGCAGGAAACTAGTATTTTATGTATAAGGATATGAAATTAATCCTATATTAATTTGAAGACATTTACGGAATTATTACTCATTAAATAGCTAACTGCCCTCATTTAACTATGTGAAACAAAAATAGTTGATCATAAATTTAGAAAAATATTACACGAAATAAAAGTTACATTTACAGTAACTTTTCTTAGAGTTTCTTTTCTAATTTAAAAATGTTGACTAGAGGGGTTTAATTTAAAACATGGCCCTAATTTCTTATCTTTTTCAATAAAATTTGATTGGCAGAGACTTATTCTCCTGAATATCTTCACTTTGAATTCATAATCAGTGAGCACTATTTAAAGAGTGTTTATAAGCACTATTTAAAGCAAACTGAACACACTCTTTTTGGTTTTTTTAACTTGAGGCTACAATGCATACTTCCTCAAACCTATGAAAGATATAATCAGAAAGCCAATGAGCTATAAGTAAAAAAAGTTTGTACTTGCATTATAGGTTAAATTACGACTTTATGGGAAAGGAAAGAGAAGAACAACACAGTGGCTTCAAAGTTTACTTACCTGATACTCAAACTACTTGATTATTAACAGGTCATGATTCCTAATTACTTACAGACCCAGGAAATGAGCAGTCCCTGAATTAAGAAGTCGGGCGTAATGAAAGTTGGCCTTTGCTCTGAGAAGGAGCGAGCTGAGGGTTCCTGAAGAGGTAGCTATTCTGGTGAATCTGAGTCAATGTAAGAACGCAGCCTCGAGGGGAACACACTGCCTGTGTTGGGGTGATGGGGCCCTGCCCACCTGCAATAATAGCTGCTGGGTCAAAGCCCTCCCAAGAGCGAAGCTTTCCAAGTGAGGAATTTATCTAAGAAAATTACAGGATGCTTAAGATTCTAATTACACAGCGCGTCTCCTTTATAAAACCCCTTTCAGCTTAAACAATCATGTCTACATTATTGTTTAATCCTGTTTCCTTGTAAAACATAACTGCTGATAGATAACTCGTTTATAATGTGGCACACCCAGGAGACCAGAACAACCCCTCTTATACTATTTCCATGACAAATGAGTAGTTTTATGGAGTTAACACTGAGGGCCAGGACCCCCAACTTCAGTCTGGTGTGCTAATATCTTCCTATCAAAATTTCCAAATCAAATTTCAAAAACAGAAAGAGGCTACTTTTGGAGATTTGTTACATGGTGGACACGAAAAGCACAAATCCTACCTGGTCACAAGGAGAACAGCATTTGTTTGCCATTTTCATCTGCAGAGAGAGGGAAACAGGAGTGATCACGACAAGCATATTAAAGCCATAATTTTTCAACCTGTCTAACTGAAAACTGAAATTAATTAGCCACAGGAAGCGTCCTTGGGAATAAATTTATTTTATGATTCATTTCTTACCTGAAAATGAAACCAGAGTAAATACAAATGTAATAGAAAAAACAATATTAGCATACTTAAATTATTATTTTTCAAATATCAGCACTTTATGAAGTGAAGCTATGGGACGAGTAGATGCTTAAATTTCAACATCTGAGAAAAGTGAGGAAAAAGATTTCTGCTCTTCACAATCTTGGGTAATTATAGCTTTCACAACTGTTTCTTCGCTTAATTCTCCCAGCAATCCTGCAAGGTAGATATTATTTTCCAAAATTTTACGAGTGAGGAAATGGTGGTCCAGAAAGGTAACATGCCCAAGACTACACAGTTGGAAAGTCGATTCAAATCCACAGTTCTGGTTCTAAAGTGTTTGAGCATCCTTCTCTCTGCTCTGCCTGCTAGCCAGCATGTGTGAGGATAGTCTAGAACGGAAGGGCTCTCATTGTCACAGGCATTTCTGCAAATATCAATCTACCATCACTTGTTTGTTTGTTTTCTTTTCATTTTGTCCATCCAGATACTTTTGGAATTCAAAATGTCAAGTTTGAAAACTAAGATCTTAGAGAGGGTCTGGTATCTCCTTATGTAATTGCAGAAAGCAAGCAAACCTTCGAGGTTTGTAGAATAGAAATCTAACACACTGCTGCTTCCCTGAATATTTTAACGTGCTCAGTCACCCTCCGTTTAGCAGCCTCCAGGACAAGGACCACGGTAGGCACATGGAAGAAGAGGGCCAGCGGGGTGGGGAATGGTGGCTGGCTGCACAGTGTGAGCCAAAGACCCCAGGGCTCTTCCTGTCACCAGCTGGTAAGCAGGGATGAGATGCAAACACGGTCAAGGGGCAAGTCAACTGGAGGGAATAAGAACAAGAAAACTGGTCAAAGGCCACCTGTGGCCAAGGGTGAATCCTTCCTTGCCTTCCCACAGCTGTGGCTCTTAAGTTAGTGCCACAGACAGCGGTTGCTTTAGGGAACTTATTACTTTATTGATTTTTTACTCCCACCCCATCTCTTTTTATTCTTTTTTTTTTTTTTCTTTTTAATTTCCTATTGACTTTGAACATGAAACAGATCGCTCAAGGAGAAAGAGCACTTTTTCTTTCCTGGAGGCCTGCAGTGAAAATCTGAGATGTAATATTTTTGATTGGATGTGCCTCTTTATAAGTTTTCATAATGTTTCGGGGAATTACATCTTTAACCCCATTAGGTTCCCCAAATGAAAATGCCACATTACATCGATGCATTTGGATGAAGTACATATAAGATAATATGCACACAAATATTTCTGTGTTTATGCCTGGAAAGGAAGAGAGAGAGGAAAGGACAGGGAGGGAGGGAGAGAGGGAGGGAGAGAGGGGAGAGAACTAGCTGTAAGCTTTCCAAATGTTTGATTTATCCCACAGTCTTATATTAGGAAACATCTAGATGACTTAATGTTTAACTTTTCTCAGTCAGAGATTTGGTATGTTGAAAATAAAGGTACAATACTCTTCTGTTTAACATTAAAACCAATCATTTTAGTGTTAATCGTAAATAACAAAATGTCTCAGTTATTTTCGCAGACTACAGAGCAAGAGCAGTAAGCCGCGATGTCTCTGTGCTCACGTTTTGTAGCGTCAGATCTCTGATGTTTGCTGACACTGCTCTTAGCCAGTCGACGCTCTCCTGGGCGGTGTAAAACTGAAGGATTCCCGTGCTGACCCCGTCCAGGGCCAGCACCTCGAATGCACTGGACCTGCAGGAAGAGGAGACAGCGACACTGTGCAAGGAGGCCCCTCAGATCCGTTTCCTCACCACAGGGAGCGGGGCACAGGACCAACGTTGTCCTCAAACCTCACGCCCACATGCCCCCAGTAAGGGCCTCTCTCCAGCTTTGCCCAGGATCGATCTGTTGGTTACCACAGGGAAACACAACAGACAACCGTCATATAACTAACCCGTTTCCATAGGTTTACTGAAATTAAGTTCAAAACTTTGAAATCTCTCATTAAATAGCTATTTCTAATTCAATAAAAATACGAAAGGCAATTCATATAGGAAATAACTCACTTTTATAGAAATTTAGGAGTTATTTTTTTATGGGGTCCTTAGTAATAATACTTTCAAAGACCATTTATTTTGTATTTAAAGCTCTTGACACAACGACGAGGGGGCAAGTCAAGCATCATCATTGCTCAGCATTGATGGTATTTTACGACCACACACTTATTTTTGAAGTTGGTTCTCCTTCCTTTTTTCCAAGAAAACCACCTTGCCACAAACGCTACCATGACAAACGATTCATAAAAGCAAAATAATTGTTTCTAATTTAGTAGTTCTTCTCTATCTTGCAAAGTCTTTTTTTCAAAGATAATTTACACATAACTATTGTTATGGACTGAATTTTGTCCCCCAAATTCATATGTTGAAGCCCTAATCCCCAGTGTGGATGTGTTTGGAGATGCAGCCTCTAAGAAAAGAATTAAGGTTAAGTGAGGTCAGAGGGTCGGGCCCTGATCCAGCAGGACTAGCGCCTTATAAGAGACACCAGAGAGCTCTCTCCACCATGTGAGGACGCAGTGAGAGGGCGGCTGTCGGCTCTGACCAGAAACTGAACCTTGGTCTTGGACTTCTGGCCTCCAGAACCGTGAGAAAATAAATTTCTGTTGTTTAAGCCCCCCAGTCTGTGGTATTTTGCTATGGCAGCCCAAGAGGACTAATACAACCATTACACAAAAGGAATATCATTTACACTTCTGTTCATTCTTTCTTAAGAAAACAATGCATATCAATCCATGTAGCCTATACCTTCACGTCCTTAAGCACATAAATGAAAGGATAAAAAAATGACAAAACAAATCAAACATACTTTTTTAAAAACAAAGTCCACACTAAATTATGTTTTAATAATCTTTCAGAGGTGAGTTTAATCATGCTTTTGTTAAGCAGGGAGAAGGATACAATCGAAGGAGAAGGAACCAGAGACATTATAAAGCAGTTCTGCATGTTCTTGAGCTGAATCTACTAGACCAGAGTTCCTTCGATTAAACAATCCTTCTCTCTTTTCATAAGCAGATTCCCCTGACTAGACATCATTCCCACCTTGATTACCATTGCTTCCATCAGAACATGAGGTTCATTTACAGACAAGGGTGTCCCCATCCCTGCTCCAGAGTCCTGGCTCAGAGACTTTACCTGGGAGAAAATAGGCCATAAAACCTATAATTCCTGATCTATTTCCAAAGTGCAATAGAGCACGGAGAAGTTCAGGGTTACTGGCACACTCAAAAACAGTGGGAGTCATGACGAAAGGCAAGTGGAAGGAGATCCACAGATTGAATGAATATGGGCTAAACTGTTAGCCGGCTAGTTTTCAGGAGAAAATCTGGGAATCAGGCAGTTGGAAGGAGTTCTCCTGGTGTCAGAACAAATCTCAAACACTGACCCCAGGAGCTATTTCTTCAAGGGAACCCAGATTTGACTGGATTACTCTGTAGAGCCATTTACGCCACAAAGCATTGTTGAAAACAACAGACTGATCAGCTGGAAATTAGTGATGTTTAGCAGCTGGCTGGTCAGGGAAGGAGACAAAGGGATCCTGTCAAACACCACCATCATCCCAGGGTGGCTGCGGGCACACCCCAACTGCACCTCCATGAGCCCACCATCAGAGGCTCAACACTCCTGAGGGGGAGGGCAGGGGAGAGACCTCACTAAAACAATCCACCCAGTCACTAAATGACAAGCGAACAAATAACAATAAAGCCCAGGTGGGGGTGGGGGTTGGGACCAGTACCCAGAGTTGCTGGAAACATGAGAGCATGATGTGTACACTGGGTCTGAGGTGACCAGATGTCACATTAAACAGAAAGAGTTACACATGTGTTCAAGGAACTAAAGGAAACAGTGTTTAAAGAAATAAAGGTATGTGACTGTGTCACAACAAATAGAGAATACAACAGAGATAGAAACTGCAAGAAAGATCCAAATGGATATACTGGAGTTAAAAAGTACAATAACTAAAATGAAAAATTTGCTAGGGAGGTTCAATAGTAGATTCCAACCGACGTAAGAATCAGCAAACTTGAAGATAGATTGATAGAGTACATGCAGCCCAAAGAATAGAAAAAGAGTGAGGAAAAATCATCAGAGCCTCTGAGGACCGTGAGGTACTGTCAAGTGCAACAACACAGGCAAAATGGCAGAACCAGAGGAGAGGAGAGGGAAAGGAGCAGAAAAAATATTCCAAGTAACAATGGCTGAAAACTCTCCAAATTTATTGAAAAACACTAACCTACACATCCAGGAAGCTCCAATAACTCCAAACAGGAAAAACACAAGTAGATCCACAAATAACTTACAATGTTAATAAAGCTGAAAATGAAAGATAAGGGAGAAATCTCACAGCAGCAGGAGAAAAACAACTCCTCAGTTACAAGGGATCCCCCAAAGTTAGCAGTTGACTTCTCAGCAGAAACAGAGGAGGCCAGAAGACAGCAGGACAATATATTCAAAGTAAAAATCTGTCAACCAGGTAAAAATAAAGAAACCAGCACAGCTCTGTCCACCAAAGCTATCTTTCAAAAATGAAGGTGAGATAAAGACATTCCCAGGTAAACAAAACCGAGAGAATTTGTTTCTAGTAAAACCTCCTTACAAAAAATGCTGATGGAAACTCTTTAGGCTGAAAGCATATGACTCCTGACCGCAATCTGAATCCACACGAAAAAGCAAAGACCGCCAGTGAAGGTAATAATGTAATTACAAAAGATGGGGTACACAGTTTTCTCCCTTCTTATTGTAAACGGTGTAAAGATCACCGTATAAAATAATACACCTATGATGTATCGCCGGGCCTATAAAATGCAGAAATGTAGAAATGTAATATATGTGCATA